CCAAAAAAAAATAATAAAAATTATGTTTTTATAAACAACAATTCAATTTTCATCCAACAACAAAACATTCAAAAGAAATGGTTAAAAAAAAAACACATTCACAATAATATACAAACCTAATAACCACAAAACCCGAACCCCATTTAACATACAAAAGCATAAAACCAAAATCATTCAAAGAAAACCCAAAACAAAAAAAACAAAACAAAAACAAAAACCTATATTCAATTAAACAAAAAAAAAACCCCAGATTTCATCCAAAAACACCAGAGAAAAAAAAATAAGAAAAGAAAATAACAATAAACAATCACAGACCATGAAGGCTCTCTTTTATACCAAAGTTACACTCTCTGAATTAGCAATTAAAACCCAAAAATAAAAACTTTGGAATTCAAGTTTAAACACACTTATTGAAGTCAAAACCCAGATGTTAAACATAAAACGACAAAAGCAAGAAGCTGTAAGCAGTGAAAGAAATTTCTCCTATTTGGCTCGAGCAAAACAACTCATTTGACCTTACTAAAATGGCAAAACACTAGAGAAAAATGAAAAAAAAAAAAATACGTGGCAAGCTAAGATCCTTTAAGGGATACTTTTTATATAAGGATGTATTGATGGTTTATCCATCAATAAATCAACTAATTTAAACCTTTACATTTTTTAGCCCAAAAAGAGATAAAAATTGATGGACAACCTAGGTAATTTTCTAATAAGCACCAACAATATTATAACTTTCAAAGAAATAAACCTATCCTAAAATTTGAAATGTCAATCTTCTCTATTGCTGTTTTAATTTTTAGGCTTATTAACTTGACTTTGTTCAATTGTTTGTAGTATATTATTATTATTATTATTATTAAAAATCTTGGTTTCAATGTGATCATTTATAAATTACAAACTATATCTTCTTCAATTTTTTAATCATAAGATATGTATTTCAAATTAGGAGAGAATGCACAAAGTCATGAATTTAACAATATGGATAGTTACAACCCGTCTTTTTTTAATTTTTACAATTTTACCAAAATTTTGATTTTTCACTATGATTGAAATTAAACAATACTATATAATTTGTGAAAAAATAATTTCTTTAATTGTATCAGTTAATTATATGAAAAATTATTTAACTCATTATCAATAAAACTTTTAAATTTCAGAAATAAGATGATATATTTTTTAAAATATATTAAAAATAAAACATATTAATATCTTTTAATTTCGTTTATAAAATTAAAAAATTATATTATCAATATATAAAAACTCTAATATTAATCTACAATTTGTCGTGTAGTGGCTTGACTTGAGAAAAATATAAAGTTGCCGTGGCCGCAAGGGTCGTCGAAGGAGCGTATGTTGAAGGGCATTGCCGTGACCGCACGCCACCTAAAGCAACAAAACAACACAAACTTATTGGCGTGTCAATCCTTGACCGGACTATATATAATATTCAGTCTTGAGTTTCAGCTGTTGAACGTTGACGACGATATTGAAATTTCTGTCCCCGTCATTTTTTTTTTTTTTTTGTTCATGCCTTAAATCTTTTAATTGTGTCTGGCTTGTGTTTTATTATTTGAGTTTTCTCTGTTTTTGGTAGGACAAATTTAGAATAGATAAATTATTTAATTTTTTTAATTATGATAAAATATGTTATATTTGATAATTTAAGATAAATAATTGTAGATTATACATTTAAAATGACATTAACAAGTAATCACTAATAAGATTCGAACCCAAAATACTTTCATCACATATGACGAATCTTAATCAATTGAGCCATCAATTTGTTAGTTATTATTTGAGTTTTCATGATAGCTTCAAAGTAAAAATAAAAAAAATAAATTAATTCCTCCTATTCTTGTCTTTCCCTGATAAATTTTTATTATATGTTAATTATTTAAATTTAATTTATTTAAATAGTAAGATATTCATATTTGATTTGTATTTAGCTTGATTATATTATAAAAATTCTTTTATATGTATTAAATGAATATGTTTATAAATATATATTTATAAATAATAAAAAATAATAACCAAATAAATTTAAATAAATAAATCCTAAATAAATATAAATGAATTTTAAAATAAATTATGATAAAAAATAAAAATATAATTTTGTTATTATTAATATTGAATAATAAATGAAAATAAACAAACGAGTTTTAAAAAATATTTACATGAGTATGTTTGTGATCATAAACGAATGAAATAAATTTTTATTTATATTTGATTCATTTAATAAATGAATATAAAAATATTATTTAAAATTTTTTATTAAACTTGATAAAAAAAATCAAATATGTTTACAAATAATTTATAAAAAATTTTATTGTTTATATCCTTAAAAAAATATTAAAAAAATAATTATATGTAAACATATTTTGAAATTTTTTTTTTTAAAGTCACTTATATTACCAACGAATTTATTAATTTTATCTTAAATATATGTGGAGAAAATTTGAGACTGCTTTTAAACCATTTGGATCCGTCATAATGATATCACATATTTTTTACTAGCATTCGACTTCTCTGTCACTCATAGATCACAATCATAATAGGATTTGATTGATGGATGTTAATGGACATTGATCATGACTTGTTAAAATATTTTCTTAGAAAATAAATCCATATTTAATGTTTTGTTTTTATCAAATTGACTAGATGATAATGCATTAATTGTAAACATATTTTTTGAACATCATTTTAACCATTATCACTAGGTATTGGTTAATATTTCTCATCATAATATTAATAATATTATTTTTGGACAGGGCTTGAGAAAGATGATTATGGTTGAAGTCATTCTTCTCATATTGGCCACAAATCATGGTTTAGTATCGGAGAATTGGAAAGTCTACACCATTATTTTCCCTCCTCGTCGAATTAATGATTGTGGAAAAAAGAAAAGGGAATACTTCCAATTTTTCTTAATTTTCCATAACAAAACTTCATGCTATAATGTTACGTTTATGTAACCTTTTTTAAAACTCTGCATGAACTTTTTATAAAATATCATTAATTCTGATTATGTCACAATTTATTATTTCTTATGTAAGATAAAAAAAAAAAAAAAGTTCATTTACATATATTAAACTAAACCCATGACATATTGAAGGACGTCACCAAAAAGAAAAGGAGATATAATATAATATAATATAATATATTTGTAAACACCAATTAATTTGACTATAGAACCACTTGTCTTCTTTTATTATATAATAATATGACCAAGTGTTTTTTTTTTTTTTATTTGGATTTAATTATTTTTAAAATATATTTTTTCATATTGACTCATTACGTTCAGAATTTTATTTTTGAAATTTATTTATTGAGAATGTTTAAACGTTTTTTTAATTGATACCAACACTTCACAATTTTATTTTCTTTTTCCTTTAAATTTTTTCTGTACCAACAAACAGTGCCTTAAAAGTTATCAACAATTCAACACCACACCCGATAAACATGTTCTTCATGATTGGAAACACAGACGTTTTAGGAGCTCAAAAACATTGGTCGAGAAAAAAGATTTTTGTGGAAAGAAAATCCAATTTATTTTCCAATTCCATGTAGAAAAACATAAGAGAAAAGGAAAAGGGAAAAAGGGTCATTAGTAAACAGTAAAGTCGGCATTAGTTTGATTTAATCTTCCAAAATATGAATAAATGGAAGCAAATTACAGTGAATTGAAGACATTGGCAGGGCAGAGTAGAATTGAGAAAAAAAAATTAAAAATCGATTCAAAATTATAATATTTTATTTAATTAAATATTTCAATTCGATTCAAATTCATTATATCTCAAAGCAAGGCAGTGTTGACAAATCTAATTGAAGCTGTCCTGTTCTAATTATCCTATCGTGTCTTTGTAAATTTAAAGCAGCTACCTACCAATAGTATTCCCTTTGACAAGTTGTGTTTTATAACGTACAAGCAAAAGCATAAAAAGCACATGCATGTACATGGAAATTATGTCCTACTTGTTCAGTTGAATTTTTTGATTCTCTATTGAATTTTGCTTTCATATTTTAGTACCTATTTTGTTCTCTTTTGCTGCTTTTTCTATATCTCAATTAGAGATTAGATTGATTAGACTTGTCCTCCCACAATGGATCTGATTATAGTCTTGAAAGCTTTAAACGTTGGTGGAGTGAACGATTGAGGAAAACAATTCACCCTGGTTGGGCAAATCAGGATTCAGGCCAATGAAAAGTGGGGTCCATATACATGCTTTTGCAGGGAAAGATTTGTTCTGTTCTTAATGCAACTACATATACTTATGTTTGTGCCGAACTATCTTCGATTAAAACCCTGAAATGGTTAAAAAAAAGAAAAAGCGATTAACATTAAAATTTAAGGTGATTTCAACAATTGGATTTTGACGTTCAAGTTATAAATTGATCTTATAAAAGAAAAAGAAAGAAAGAGTATGAAAGATTTTGAAAAATCATATGAATGAAAGGCATTTAGATGATGCTATTTATATTTATAAAATGAAAGTCTAAAACAGCTTAAGTTATCTGGTCTAAGACTAATGTGATAAGCTCCAATTGAGTTGATGATTGATTTTTTTTTTAAGTTGTGATAAATTAACATTCTATAAAATCTAACATGTAAACTACTGAAATAATCAAATTAACATAAAATTAAAAATCGATTTGACACATTAATTCAATTAAAATGACTAAAATATTTTTTATAATAATTTACTTATACAAATAAAAGAAAATTCCATTTTCCCCTTTTCCACCTAAAAATATCTCTAACAACGTACATAAGCTGATGTAAAAGAGTGGGACATCATCATCATCATCCATTTTCCATCAGTGGTCACATGTACGATAAAACTACTGCCTTTCTCCCAATTTCATAGAAACTCCAATTTATCGACTAATAAAATAATAACTTAATTTTTAATTATCAATTTATTTATCTTTAATTAATCTCTCACTTTGTTTAATTTTTTTTTTTCTTTCCCTCCTATAAATACCCTCTTATCTCTTTCTAAAGTTTATCTTTCTTTTATTTTATGATCTCTTGGGTTTTTCTTTCCTTTAGTTGAATAGAATGAACGAGGTTACTATGTGTGAGCTTAGCTTTTCTCATCAACATCCTCGACCTTCAAGCTTTAGTTGCCTTAACTCTTGCTTGACGGAACACTGGGGTGATTTACCTTTGAAAGTTGATGACTCTGAGGACATGATCATCTACAACTCCCTTCACGAAGCTCTCAATTTCGGGTGGACACCGTCGGATTCAACGGTGGTAGCTGCCGTGAAAGCCGAGCCTATATATGATGGGTCTGAGATGATGACAGTACCGGTTACCCAAGTGAACCCTTCAATGGGGTTGACTCAACCTGTAGCTGCTGCAACTCAAATGTTATTTGGAAGTGCTTTCATGGGAATAAGCAGCGAAGATGGAAGCTCTTTTTGGATGGGAAAACGAGAAGAGTGCTTTCGAAATGGGAACCAAAAAGTGGTTAAAGGGAGACATTACAGGGGAGTTAGGCAAAGGCCATGGGGGAAATTCGCGGCAGAGATTAGAGACCGGGCTAAGAATGGGGCAAGACTCTGGCTAGGCACCTACGAGACTGCTGAGGAAGCTGCTTTGGCTTATGATCGAGCGGCTTATAAAATGCGTGGTTCGAGGGCTTTGCTTAATTTCCCTCACAGGATTGGCAACAATGAGCCTGAGCCTGTCAGAGTCACGGCCAAGCGTCGTGAACATCATCGATCAACATTATACAATAGTTCCTCTCCCAAGAGAAGAAAAAGCTTGGCAGCTAACCAAGCCGAGCTAGAGAAAAACAGGGGATTGACTATATATCAATTGGCACATCAAATGGGGCTAATGCCAGTTGGGGAACAGTTATTGGTGAATTGAGTTTATGTTTTCCATATTTATTTTTCCCACGGTTGCCTTCACAGAGGGATGATCAAAGATAAACAATCCATAGCTTAAACATGGATCAAGATATTTTCGCTGGAGCTCTTAATTTAGGTGTCTTTAGGCATAAATGTGATATGATGTTTATGAGACGTGTGAATAGAAAGAAAATTAGACCTAGTTTAACTTTTGAGTGTAACTTTTATATTTTTTCTTTGCTTTTATTGTGGGAGGATACACAAACCATTAAAGAGCAGAACTTGGGCTTAAAGCCTCTGGTAAAGTGTAACTCTCTGAGAAAAAGTAATGAAAATGTAAACTGTGGTTACATATATTCTAGTTTGGGTGGATAAAGTGGAGCATTACCATAATTTACCGACTAATGGCAATCAATAAAATATTGGAGCCACTTCAAACTAGCTTTGTGCTTTATCAACATATGTGAATTATTCCCAAACAAAAGGTAACATACCACATGAATCACAAGCAGATCTTATTCTTATCAACATATATAACATAAATTATGTTATTTATTATTATTTTTTTTAAATTTAGGATTAGGTTCGGTATACCCTTCTCAAAAGTATAAGACTCGAGTTGGAATCTATAGAGAATTTTTCTTATCGTGTAATTGATCATCTTTGTGGTTGGGGCAATGAAGGCACCTATTATAAGTTTCTGATACAGGCATGCTAATTGGTAGTTGAAATTACAGCTCAATGCTAATGAATCAATTTTCCTATTGTGTCATTGGATCTCATATTGTCATCAATTAAGAAGGGTTTTGTGATCAATTTTGAAATTGGGGTGGGGAGAAATTCTTTGTAGCCAATGTTGAATTTTATTTTTGAAAAAATAACTTAAAACGTTACTCCCAGTCTTGAGAAGTTAGTCAAGGGGAGAAATAATCAGTTGTGTTAACATGAATTAGTTACTACATATGATCACTAGGCTGCTCTAGTGCTCTTTATTTTCTTTTTTTTTACCCTTCAGAATATGATTGAAATTTGAATTCGAATCTTTCAGTTCTTAAATCGATTTCAATATCATTGACCTAAGAGCTCATTGGTGACTACTCTACTTGTTATGATAAAATTTCCACAATATTGCACTATCACCAATAGTCTATCTGAACTATTAACAAAGGGCAGGAAAATTTATCTAGGGAAAAACTTAAATCTATAATAAAGATCAGGACAATAATTTATGACAACAATCACTCTGTCACATTATAAACAATGAAACCATTCAAGAGTTTAGACTTTATCAAAGTTCACTCTATTCACATTGAAGAAACAATACGTTAGTAACCAGATCAATTGAAACTATCCAAAATTAACAAGAATTTCTACTTGTTCTAAGAATGGACAAACAACTTGGGGTTAAATGAAAAATCTCGTCCTTGTCAGGCATGTTTGTTTACTTTTATCCTTTACTTTCAGATATGGTGAAAAGTCGACTGACTTGTTATGAATGGAACCTAACTATCTTCCAAATCAATTAAGTGATTTGAACAGGTAAGAGAAGTTGATTCTCTTTCATCCTGACTTAAGACAATTGCCGACGTATGTTTTTTCTCGCAATAAGAAGTAAAATATATTTTGTATTGCTATTGGGATTTCCAAACAACAATTCAAAAAGTTAAATTCCTTAAGAAAAATGGTTTCTGAACAAAAAATTAAAAAAAAAAGGTCATTGTTACTGAATTAAATGTGTAGGTGAAAAGGATACCCAATATTTCTTTCTGGCCTTTGGAAAATGAGGTGCTATGGAGAGCAAGACTTTGCAAAAAAAAATAACATATATTAATTAAATTGCAGTCAACCATGAAATTAGGCATATGGAAGGAATAAAATCTGAAAAAAAAAACATAATTTGTCAATTAAACGTTTCTGTCACTGGAAATTCAACAAAATAAGTTGACACTAAGGTATAGTTGAATTTCCAATAGCTTTTTGTTTTTTTCAGATATGAACCCAAAAATATTTTGATATATTTCACCTGAATAATTAATCTTCATATTTAGGTGAGACCAAGTGACCGGCCTATAGCCGTACCGTACATAATAATGGCGAGAAAAAGAGGCCTTAAATCAAAAAGTTGCTTGAAAAATTAAAGCATATATGTTAACCAAATTGGACTTGCAAAAATTATTGAATGCTCATTGAACAGTGCTAAATCTTAGTGAACTTGATTCAACGAACACACTCATTACATTTTTGACAATAAGTTAAATTAAGAGAAAAAAAATAAAAGGGAGGAAGATCCTTTTTCTTATTTCTGCCGCTAACGTCAAGGCTAACCTAATGAGATTATGATTTCATATCCGATGATAGGATCCATGAGGAAACTTATGACTTCAATGATAAAATAATACTGTAAAAGTTTCTTTCATTGATCATATAAATAAATGAAATATTATAATTAAATCGGTAGTTAATAAGGTCAGTGAGAAAATTTACGATTCTAATAATAAAATGGTATGATAAAAAAAAATTTTATTGATTATCCAAATAAAATATTATTGTCTACATCGGCTGCTAGGACTTGGGTGACACATTGAGCCATCATTGATAATATTGATGATTGCTCAATTAGATAATCCAAGCATTCATTTGTCTCTGCTTGTTCAGAGTTATGAATAATTTTTTTTTTACTCTTTGCCTAACCCCCGGGGCAGGATGACAAGACATCATCTAACCTAATTGCACCAAATCCGAAAGGTCATTATGTGCAATGGTTCTTGACCTAACAATTTTGTAATTTTCACATGACATTTTTACGAGTTGAATTACTCAAAAGTAAGCAGCATTCTTCATTTAAAGGTTTGAAAACAAAGATTTTGAATCCCTTTTGTTTAGTATCCATTAATCCATACTTCAGTGATGTGGAATTATTGGTTTAAAGTACATGACAATTCATATATTTATATTATATAAAATATTAAAAATTTATATATTTATGATATATTTTATATAAAAATTATGTGTTATAGTTTACATTGACAGAAAAATATATATATTTTTATTTTGTTAAATTTATTTATATATATTTAATTTTATTAAATTTTTTATGTTTTTTATTAAAAGTTTAAATTATATTATCTTTATATTTTTATTCATACTATTTTTATATTATATTATCATGTCATATTTAAAATTATCAAGTATATAACTTAAAACATGCATAAATATGTTATTTTAATTTCTTTTATTTTAAATATTTTTATTTGAAACATTATTATTATATAAATATTATATATTATCAATAAATCATGCAATAACATTTCATATATATATATATATATAAACCTTCCTTAGCTTGAAATTGGACTCAAATTTTAGCAAAAAAAAAAAAAACTCGAATGGGTATGAAAATCAGAGACCTTTAACATTAAAATGGATTAGAGACGAGCATAAATTGCATAAAGGCACGTAAAATATACGCTTTAATCTTTTGCTGGTGAAAAGGTTCGAATTGGTTTGTAAATATGAAAAGAATAAATCATGGTTCACACCTCTCAAAACAAATAACTTTCAATTATTAAGGAAATTAATACTGATTGACTTCCAATCTTTGAATAATTCAAAAGGCCGAAATAGTTTCAATTTTCCAATGAAGGCTCCCCATTCTATCAGCCATATACTGATTTGACATCCACAAATCCAAAGTCTCCTTTGTTTTTACAAAGAAAGTGAAGTACGGAATTTTACGGAAAAGAAAATTAAATATTTAGATTTGAATTTTAAATTTATTAAAAATTAATTTTAAAAAATTAAGCATAGTATGAATAAACAGAATTTATTTTAAAATATATTTCAGTTCTCTCTTTTAATAAGAAATTTTATTTTAAAATTTAGCCAACGAATGTCCTAAAAATATAAATTTATGTTATTATAATATAAATTCATATTATTATTTATATTATTATAAATTTTAAAAAATTATATTATTATTATTATTTAAAATAAGGACATGTTAATCGGTCAAAAGTAGCATTCATTAACGTAAATATTGAAGGAGAAACTTTTGTAAAATAATGTATCCTCACATCAATTAATAGTAATTACCAGTCAATTACTGTAATTAATGCAGATATATTATTATAAATAGCACCTTGAAAAGTACTTTTTTTAAAACAAAACAAAAAATATCTAAGACACTCATTAACAAAATCCTTTATTTTATGTTAGTTTGTATTGCTTACTATACTTCATAAGTAATAATCCATTATTTGTAATTTACTTGTGAAAAGTCAAAAGCAAAAGAGTAGTAGTATTTTGAATATAAAGTAAAAATATTATTTTATATTTAAAAGTTTAGAAATTAATTTGACTTTCATACATATAAAAAAATGTATAATAGTTTTAATTTTATGTAGACTATATTTAAACTCATGCAATACATGAACAATAATTTTAATTTATAATAATTTTTAAATAAAGTAAAATGAAATTTTAAATACTAATAATTTACTAACAATAATAATAGATTAGAAGTACTTATACAAAAAAGATTCGAATTAATAATAATGCTCATTTAATTTATAAACACCTTAAAATAAAACCAATAAAAATAGAATTAATGAAAATTTTGATTGAGAGATGATTATGCATACAAATATTTGAATATATGAGTAACAAATTCTTTTTTTATTCAAATTTGTTATTGAATTTCCATTTATATATATTTTTGGCTATTAATTAGGAACTTTTATCATATTCAAGTTGAACTTTATAATATTATTAAAGTCAAATATTATCAAGTAAATCAATTTGGACATGCAATAATTAAAAGACATGTGATACTAAATTAGAATATCACATATAAAAAAGATAGATCAACCACAAAATTAGAAAATTTTTTAATAAATATATATAATAGTATTTAAAAATTATACTATTATTTATTAGAAAAACATTAGCCTATTTTATTTTAAGAAACATTATATTTATAATTTTGACAAAAATTATTTTTTAGTGATAAAAAATGTTGTTAGTATTCTTATAAAAATTAAACCTATTAGTCTCAATATATATAAACATAATAATTTAATTATGCACACTTAACTCTTTTTTATCGATCATATATTCTAATATATTAAAGATAATAAAAGTTCACATTTTAATTTAACTTTTCTTAAATCGAAATGATATTATATCTTTTTTTTAAAATTATAAGAAATTCAAATTTATTCTAAATGTTAAAAAAAATTTCATACTCCTACAAATTTTGAAAAAAAAAATTGTATAGTTAAATGTTGAATAAAAAATTATATTTTTTTAATTATTTGGTGAAAATAAATATCATTTACTGTAAACATTATAATACTTATCTTATTTTATATATATATATATATATATATATAATTGAAACTAAAGAGTTACTTCTCTCAATTTTCATTTACTTAGATAGTAATTAGTTCCA